CGCAATTCGGATTCCAATCTTCGGGATTTTAAATAAAAAAACGAATTTTGTTGTCACCATGCATGTATACTCTCTTCATGCTCTTCATAACCATAAGATTCATAACACCATTTTTTCAAAAACCCTACAAAAATCTCCTTCCATTTTCACTTTAAAACAACATTCTTCTGTATTTTGAATTATCTTATGTTATAATTGGTTGTAGTTATGGTTCATCTTAAAGTTTTCTCTGACATTACTCTATTTGTGGATGTTAAACCGGGTTATTAGAGTTTGGCCGAACTCATTCTTACCAAACTGACTTCTAAAATGAGGGGTGTCACTCTATATAAACTCTTTTCAAACTCTATGTCTTTTCAATGTGGGACTTGGAATTTTCCAACACTCCCCATCATGCCCAACACTTTTTTGGGCTTTCTGCGTTGATTTGAACGACGGGCTGTCCGAGGTTTTATCGATATACTCTGATACTATATTAGAATTTGACCTAACTCATCCTTACAAAAATGACTTTTAAGGTGAGGGGTGTCACTCAATACAAACTCTTTTCAAGCTCTATGTGTGGGACTTGAAATCTTTTAAACACTCGTGAAGACGGGAAAATGGTCAAACCTAGTGTGATATTAGAAAGTATAATGAATGTCTTTAAAGCTATAATTAATTCTTCTTCAGAAGAGTTAAATGATAAATTTGTCATGTTGTTCAAAAGGTTGTGTGCGGCATATCCAAATTTCTTAAAATATGTTTGAAGCATAATTCTAGACCAGGTGAGAGATAAGATTGTTTGTGCTTAGACTGATAAGGTTGGACACTTTAGAAATAGTATAACCAATAGAGTTGAATTTTCTCACGCCACATTGAAGAATAGGTTAGGAAATAGTAAAGGAGATTTGTATATAGGTTGAGAATCATGAACAAAATAATTTAGAATCAACACAACTAGATCCAAACATCAACTGCTCAAAGTATCACGATACTATAACACATAATAAAAGATAAAAATATTTATTCATATTTGGTCGGTAATATATATCGAACGAGATTGAATTATATTTATCATGAATCTAAGCGAGTAGAGAAAACATGTTCAGATAGCTCAATGTATGGTTGTACATTTAACGGGATATATGATGTTTCGTGTACATGTTTGATTTTAAAAAATATGATACTTCATAGGCCTATTGGTAAGAATGAGGTTTACTCACTTGGAAAAGAGAGGTCATTCAAGAAAGGATTTTGAAAGGTGATGATAACATGAAACTTCACATCAAAGAGTAAATGAGGAATGTTGCATATCCAAAAACAACATATTTGAAAGGATTAAATATATTTATGGTCCTGCTAAATATCTCAATTTTCGGTTTTAGTCCCTCAAAATATTTCCTTCAAAGAATGGTCCTCCTATAATTTTTCATCCACACATTTGGTCCATCTTGCAAATTAGCGATGATTTTTACAACTTAGTGACAGAATTAGCGACAATTTATTATTTAACGACTGAATTAACGACAGTTTTAGTAATAGGGACCAAAAGTGTGGATGGAAAATTTTGGGAGGACCATTCTTTGAAGAAAATATTTTGAGGGGTTAAAAATGAAATTGAGATATTTAGAAGGACCACAAACATATTTAATCTTATTTGAAATCATCTGAAGAACCAGTTAAAACAAAGGGTGCTTCTAAGAAAGTCAAGCCAACAACGAGTGACAATTCAACCAAATGTTCTCCATCCTATTTTGAACATGTCGGCACACTTTTTCCAAACCCTCCAATTTCAAAATCCAAAAAAAATTCTTTCAAATGTGCTCGCATCAGTATACAATCACTTCACACATTTACCACTATCACCACCTTGTAAACTTTTTTTTTAGATTTCGGAGTTGGAGAATCCGGAAAATGTGAATCAATATGTTTAAAGTACGAAGAAGATTGCTTCTTTGAATTGTCATATTGTATTGGTTTGACCATTTTAGGGACACCTTTGGTTTTAACCGGTTCCGAAGGAGGTTTGTAATGATACAAGCACATGGAAGACCATATGTCTTCTCTTATTGCTTCACTTCGTCAAAAATGAAATTCAATCCCGCCCGAGATACGTTGTAAACCAAGTCTGAATAAAGAGTATTGTTTTTGAATCGGTGTTCTAGTACAATAATGCTCCGACCAAAAGTTGTTAGTATTTCATTATGTTGGTTTTGGAGCATTTGGTTCACGGCGTCCCACTCTGTATAAAAATCACCCTTACTATCACCCAACTGTTTCTTCAGTATCGAATGTGCATATTCGACTATGTTAGTTGTTGTATTCTCAAGGTGTCTAATCTGATAGGTTTAAGCACAAACAATATTCTCCTTCACTTGCTTCTGAAAAATACTCTCAATGTATTTCAGGAAATCAGCATACAAGTCTTTTGTGGATGTGTTTAATATATCATTTCATGCATCCATTATCTTTTTCAACATCACACCAGATTTAACCATTCTTCCGTCTTCGCCCTTAATTTGTTTGGTGCCTACCGTGGGTTTGAGCTGACTTCTCACATTTTTTGTTATGTGATATCAGCAAAGTGATATGTAGGATGTAGGAAACACCTTTGAAATCGAATTCATCAGTGCAGTGTTTCGATCGGTGACAATTATATTCAGCATGTTTTCTTGGTCCTTCAGCAAAGTCTTGCATATTTCCAAGGCCCATGTAATGTTGACCTCTTTTAGGATTTCAAAAATGCAAATCTCACTGAAAAAGTCTTTTCCGTAGAAGTAACACCAACAATTTCTAGAAGCGGAAGCCTATACTTGTTAGTTTTATACGTTGAATCAGTTATGAGGACAGTGAAAAATATGTTGAACAACTTGATACTTTCGGGATGAATCCAAAATATGTCACGAGCAGTGACTTTATCCTCATAAACTTTGTACTAAGAAACATAGTGGTTATCATCTAAAAACTTCAAAAGTTGTTCCATTTCAGAACTAATACCTCTTATCGCCATGTTGTTTCGATAACGTGTATTGTATACCTGCTTGATATTTGAAACGCTTTCAGGTCTTTTCTGTTTCAAATCTGCAAGTATCTTTTTTGGCACCCCCTGATTAAAGACATGTCTGAAACAATTTCCTTCTCCTCTGGTTTAAAGCGACATACGATGGGATGACCGACTAGCTCGGTTTGCAAAGTATGGTTATGTATACCAAAAATCACATTAAATTTTCATGTATCATTCACCTTATAGTATCAACGCAATTTAAATGAGCAGTCACATTTTCTAGATCCAGCATCATCACGTCTTAACTTCTAAATCGGTGAAACATATGTGTCACTTCTCTTTCATCTCATGGTTGCAAATGCTTGCCTTATATTTGAACCATTGTCATACCTTCTGATTACAATGCCAAACTCCAATTTTCTAGCCTCCGGGCAGACTCATTCAAGCACATGTTCATGAGCAATAAACAATTGTTCATTTTTAAAATGTTGACCAACATCTATCTTGACAATAACCGATTTAACACTTCACTTCATCTTGTTTAACATCGTCCTTCACTACATTCGATTTTACATCATTACTTACCGCAGATTTGGGAAACATATCAGGGTGCACCATGTCTAATATGAACCAAAACTGAAAAATGATTTAAAACCCAAGTAGCAGGAAAATTCGGATATGCACATTCGAACTCAACGTTCATTTTCCAGCTTAAAGAGAAGATTAATGCAAGCAATGAGGGATGAAATGAGTGAACTTTATCTTAAATTACAACTTATTTTGTTCTCTTTGATGTGATAAAGCACAAGAATAACGATTTAGAGTTAAAAAGTTGATTAAGAATGATTTTTTTTAAAGAGTTTTGAGTTATGGATTGATTGTTTGATTTATAAAGGATGTGGTGATTTAAAGTACATTTGGATATGCATCTCGAAAAATACCAGAAGACAAATTTGAGTTTTGAGCACCAAGTAGGAAAAGAAATTCTCTTTGTATGTAGCTGGTGCTTATTTTGGGCTTGTTAAGGTAGGTCAGGATGGAGGAAATGCAACCCAATTAGTCGAACCTGAATAAGCAAATACTACAAGGTTTGCTGATGGTTTGGACGTAGATCCTGACACTGGAATCGTCTATTTTACCGTAGCTAGCACCAATTTCCAGCTCAAGTAAGCATTTTTTTTTAATTCTTACAATGTTGTTAAGCATAGTTATAGTGCATTGCAATAATAAATATGTATATCTTTTATTTATTTTGCAGAGATTTTCAAACACTGCTTAACAGTGGAGATAACTCAGGAAGCTTATTAAAATATGATCCAAGCACTAACCAAACAACAGTGTTGCTAAGCAAACTTGGAGTGCCATCTGGGGATGCAGTATGCAGAGATGGTTCATTTGTACTTGTCAGAGAGTGTGGCTAAAAGGTCCAAGAGCAAATTCATCAGAATTATTCACAATACTTGCTGGAAGACTAGATAACATCAAGAGAAATTCAAGAGCACAATTTTGGATTTCAGTGAATAGTATTGTTAAACCACCTAGATTCCAAGACGTTCTACATTGCCATCAGGAGTTAGAGTCACTGAGAATGGTTTAGTTTTATAGATTGTGTCTCTTGCTAGTGAGTATGTAATTATGCTACCATTTTTAGCCCATAGTCTGCTACCTTTGTATGGCTATTGAAAAAATAATACACGAGGACTAAATAACGAAAAACATTGATCACATATACTTGCAATGGCACCCATAAATCCCTACTCTTCTGATCATCATTTACATAGACATGCAACATAAGTTAAGTTAATGACAACTGCCTAGTTGAAGATCATGAGTCTATAAACCCGTTAAATAATTCACTTTGGTACATGTCAATTAAAAACTTCTAACTTCTGCCTTCACCCAACTAAATTGAGAAAGACTATAAATAATTGAAATCCATTAGTTTCAACATGAGAGGCAAATTCTAATTGAGAAAAGCTAGGAATCAACAATTACAGGTCCAACAAGCACATGTTCACTCCAACTGGGTTACAAATCGTTGAAGATCTTCTAATTCCATATTTGAGAGACCTGCAACCAGAAATCCCCAACTCAGAACTATGGAGTTCAACCTGTGGAAATTAATTCAAGTTGCAGAACAATGAATGATATTTTGGTTACCTTTAGCAGAAGTGTCCATTTTATTGCTATCGATGCTTTTTGCGTACATTTCTTGGGTCTCTTCAATCATGTCTACCTTTCCAATCATCGATCGAAGTTCTGAGGCAGTTGTCAACATCTCTACAAAACCACACTCACAAGTAAAGATAAGCTGACTCACAAGTTCAACGTATAACATTAGATAATAATCTGCTGATAATATCAATCAGAAAATACAAATTCATTTCTGCTACTTCAATAAAAAGAATACAGAGCTCCATGGAAATGTTGACGTTATTTGATCCATCTCTCCAACTTCACAGTATTAAGATTCTGACCCACCATACCTATAATGCTGCCCCATTCCCCTCTCGTACACATTATAATCTTGTACGTACAGACATGAAAGCCATTATATGAAGTACAATCAAATGAAAGATTATCATGAATGTTCATTATTTGCTTTATATAAGTGGCAGTGTAATTGGAAGAAGAATAACGGTATCCAAGAAATTCAGTATTCATTTGCATCGTCAAACTGTGTTTTAGAAAAGAAATATACATGTGTGAATACTTAATACATACAAACATGCAGTAAAATAGGATGCTTAATTTAAATAGAAATCACATGATAAAGTATAAAAACTAGTTCCAAGTATAAGAGTATAAAATACCCTGAAATGAAACATAAATACTCTTATTTACGAAATGCCAAAACACCGAAAAAAGATGATAAGAAGCTCATAAATTACCCTGAAACAACTCAGAGTTTTGCTCAAATAATTGAACAGTCTCATTGATATGCAGAGCATTGAGAGTAGAGTGCTTCGGGAATGCCTGAATTTCTTGATTTAGCATTTCCGATTCTTTCCCCACCTGACAGCACATTAATTACCAATATAAATTAAACGAGAAACAAACTAAGAGTCAGTTCTGCTATCAACAAAATGAAGAATTTATTGATCGGCACTCTTTTTACCTCAGCTAGTTTTTTCCTCAATGATTCTAACTCAGCATCCAATTCTTGATCCGAAGAAGCTACAAGATCAATGTCATTCCCACTCAATTCATCCTAAAAAATAGTACACTTCAAAAAGGTTTTATTTTTAAATAAACATCCGGTTCTTATGTAGACCCAGTAAGTTAGAGAAGAACATACGGTGAGAGTATTTGGCATGTGAAACCCTTGGGGAAGTGAAAAACAGTGATAACGGCAGTAATCTTCCCAAACAGCAAGCTTTCTATCAAAATCAGATTGAATATTGTGCAGAAAGCGATCAAAACCCTTTCAGAAAAGACACGATTAATAAATTAATTAACAAGCAATTTCAATAAATTAAAAAAACCCTAATAAAGCAATTTGAATGGAAACCTGTTTGAGATGTTGAGACCTTTGGGCATCTTCGACGACGTTGAGCTTGGTAGAAGCTTCCCTGCAACAGAAATCATGAATTTTGATAACAAAAATGGAAAGAAGAAAAGTGAACTGAGTTAGTTAGTTACTGGAAGATGAAATCAACAAATTCAAGGAAGAAATCATCGACAGTGTTGAAAATTTGGTTAAAGAAGAGTTGAGGATTCAAATTCAGTGATTCGAAAACCGCATAGCTCTCGCTCACGCTTCCCTCCATTTCCACCAAATTCCTGGATTCCCCAAATTCAAAACAACTCCGTGTCCTGCTTCTTTCTCACTCCAATATATATATATATATATATATATATATATATATATATATATATATATATATATATATATATATATATATATATATATATATGGGGTTATGTTAACCAGTACTCTGAACCAATGCACTGAGGACATTCGTTAGCATATATATATATATATATATATATATATATATATATATATATATATATATATATATATATATATATATATATATATATATATATATATATATATATATATATATATATATATATATATATATATATATTGTAGCACTTAAGTATGTTTTAATTTATCAATAATATATTGTAATCATTTTAAGTTCCTATGTAGTTCATATCTAAGAGGCTAAAATAAATAGTATAAGGAATTATGGAAAGATTCACACATTAATATCCAGGGGGTTTGTTAATATCTAAAAGTAAATAATGTTGACCGAAACCCGACAAATAATTGAGGTTTTAGCGAACCAAATGAAAATCAAAATGTTACAAAAATAATTGAATAAGTGATAGTTAAATCTTTCTTAAGTTTATTTGTAATTCATGTTTATATTACCATTAACTTAAATAGTTATTGGCATTGAGGTGAGTTGTGAAGAGGAATTACTGCTATGTTGTGAATAGCGGTCAGCGCGACTACGATAGTATTGTATTTAAAAAAAATTGCAAGGTTGTTTCCTGTTGTACTGGTTAGGCGGGCGCGAAAAGGGAAATTGGGTGTAGTGATCGAGATCGCGGGTTTGAAGCGGTGTGGTGCAGTTCAAACCGGATCCATAAGTTTTTATCCATTATTTTTAAAAAGTCTTAAAAACCTTATTTTTTTTCTCGTTCCTCTTCTTCGTTACCGTGCAACACAGCAGTAATGTCCTTCTTCTTCGTTCGAGCAGACACAAAGTATCAAGAATAACTGTTTACTTTGAAATTTGGTAAACAAAAACAAGTTTGATTTTACTTAAGAGATTAAACTCGAAAAAATCCCAGAAAATATTGTGTGAAAATCATAAGTTTGAAAGGAATTGGACATCAAAGTCTAAATTTAAAGAAAAGATTAAATAACTTGGAAAGTAATGAATGACTTGAAAATAAATACTTCAATTCATAATATGGAAAGCAGATACATACATTCTCACAACTCTTTTCTCACCAAACACGGATACTTTGAGTTTACAGAATTTGTGTACAATTGTAGACCCCTAAAACTATAAGTAAACAACACTACATATATATTAGTCTTATCATAATCGTCTACAGCGGTCGACTAACCAAATTATGCCATGCATTCGTCTCCATGCAATCAACATTCTTGACAGACTTCCACGTATTCTCGAATAACTGTCTGATGTTATCCATTTACACCTTGTTCGATCATGTGGAGAATAAACATTTTTGGGAACTCTAAATTTTACTACGTCTCAAAACTAACAAAATTCTTAGTCTTCAACTAACTGATTGGAATCTTGATGAAAGTCATCAATATCATTCGATGGAGATGCCTCGTCAAAAAATGTTGTTTTGACTTCATGGCCAAATGACCATTTCAACTTAAATTAAAAAGCCTAAATGCCATGTTCTGATTGTTCTTGACAATCAAAGTTTGTATCAAAAATTCAAGGTAACAAATTGCCCCAAAATACCATGTTTCAACTTTCCTCTTAATCAAAAAGGAGAAAAATGGCATTTTTGAATTTATTTTTGACATTGTTTAAACCCTTTCACTGACGTCAGTGTAATCATTACAATTTTAATGCAAATTTTCATTTTCAAAAGATTTCTTCACAATTTCATCATTACTCATATTTTCTAGGAGATCATGGGTCTACACAATTTCACTAACTTCTCAACTTCTACCAACTCTCCCACTTTTTGAGACATGAAATGTCTCATCTTAACACGTGTTTTCCATGTGTCTGTCATTGGAAGGATAATCACTTCTATAAATACTCCCTTCATAATCTCTTTCAATCTTCTTCACTCACGCTTCACCATTTTACATAAAAAAGAAACATTTCTCTCGCATCAAGCTTTTCAAAACTAAAAAATGGCAAATTCAACTCTCAAAACAGACACCGACAAAAATCCTTTGGCATTCGTGATTCTGAAATCAAAAGATGACAAATGGGAGAGACTTCATACCTGAACTACCATTGGTCAAAGATAAAATCGTCATTCGGGCTAAACATGTACTCGTTCCCTTCTCCCTTTCTAATACACTTTTGGGATTCTTAGGAGCGTTTTCGACGGCTAAGTCACACTCTGGGAAGGTGGTGAACTTTTTCGCATGCTACCCTGTCTCCATGCCTTATGTGTTCGAAGGATGCTCTATCGACCTTTCCTACATGGAAACGCCTACGCGTGTTTTTCGATCATCACCCTCATCCCAAAATAAGAACTATATCGTTTGGCTCGACAAGGTCCAAAACAAAAGGCAAAAACAATGGGAAGACCTAAGTATCTTTGACGCAACCCAAATATCTAGAACTGGCCCTAGGTATAACCCTGCCATGTTGCTTGTGTCGATCTTCTTTTGGGAAGGTTCAACGTAGCGACTATCACGGGACTTCGACCTACAAGTGAAAACTTCACCCCCATAATAGAAATAGTGAATGAGTTCGTCTTCGAACGATTTAGCTTCAAAAATTACATCACCAACCATCATAAAAAAATACTGAAGAGGTCTCCGACCAAGAACATATCGCCTTCTTGACCCTTTGGCTTTCGTATTATTTCTTCTGCTCAAGCTCTTTACAAATAGCCAAAATATATGTCTGCCTAACAATTCAACTTCATGAGGGTCGAAAGGTCTCTCTTGGCAAGTCAATCTTAGCAACTTTGTATCAATCATTAGGTAATGCTTATTGAAAACTAAAAAACCTCCTCAAAACCAACAAAACATACCTTCTCTCTGGCACCTTGTGGCTTTAGCAACTTTAGTTAAATGCTACATTTGAACCAAAGCTACGGGTAACCATGTCACAAGCTCTAATGGAAGAGAACGACTGCAGGAGCATTGAAGGAATTTGACTTGCCTTAATTACCCCATATGATACTCCTTCATAAATAACTTTCATGAAATATGTTAACTTGTTCCTCGAATCAAAAACCTTTGTTTCAACCATGGTCCCCTTTGTGGATAAACGTGTTGGCTCAACATGGTTTGGAAACAGGTTTCTTGGTGTAACTCCCTCGGCTGCTGCAATGTTGAATTCCGTTTGGGCAGCCTTTTTAACTCTTACACTCCTTTCTACTCGAATCGAGACGAGAACTGATGGATTTATACTCATCGGCTACCAACCCAATTTAGTTGCTCTGGCTCTCACTTCCTTCCATTTTTGCCAAATTCGTCGATTCCCCAGATTCAAAACAACCACATGTCGTGCTTCTTTCTCACTCCATTATTTTTATTATGATAAATGTCACTTTTTTTAATTTGATAAGTTTTTTATTTATTTATAATTTTTTTTATTTATGGGTTATTAATATCTAAAAATAAATAGTTTAACTGAAAATGACAAACAATTCGTTTTTTGTTTAACCAAATGAAAACCAAAATAATACAAAAATAATTGAATAAGTGATAGTTGAATCTTTTCTCGAGTTTACATAGTCTTACGAAAATGTTAGACTCAATCAATATATAGTGAAACTTCACAATTTTGTCTTTTATTCGTAATTCATGTTTATATTACCATTAACTTAAATATTTATTGGCACAAAGGTGAGTTCTTAAGAGGAATTACACGTGTGACTAGTGGAAATGGAAAATGTCACAAAGGGAGGAAGATCAGGCCAAGTGTGGGGCATCAAATGCTCATATTGTAAGGAATAATCATGACATATCCGCACAAATAATCGAGAAAAACTGACTTGAAAGATTTAAAATAAATTAAATCAATAATTGTTAGCTATAAATTATAACATATTATAATAAAAGATTATTATAAACGACGTACCTTTTTAAATTTTTGAAAGATTTTCGTTGGAGAAAGTGAGTATTATTGAAAGTATAATTCATAGTGTTTTTGTGTTACTTAGAAAATAAGTAACTAACAAGTTAGTTGTAAAAGTTCTGTTATGTAACATAATTTGACTTGTGAAATTAGCTAGGCCAAAAATAGATTATTTGGTTTGTATGTAATATCAATATATAGCTTTTTCTAACTTCGTAAACCAAGTTAATGCTAATAGTCTCTTCTTCTTCTTCACACTTTTTTCTTTTCAATCTTTATTCTTCTTCTTCTCAATTTCTAAAGTGGGGAGAACATGCTTGAACATTAGAACCTTGTATATGTGTGCACATCACTCGAGTGAAAATTGTTGGTGAAAGTGGATGCACCAATTGAGAAAAGATTAATCTTGTTATTGAAAGGCTTGTTCTAACATTTAGTATCTAGAGCATTGGCTGCGATTCTTGGGAAATATCGAGCAATGACTTCTCATCCTAATGGGATCTTTTCTACAAATCTTTCCATTTTGAATGGAAAGAATTATGATAATTACTATAAGCAGATGAATATGGTTTTCTGCCATCAAGATGTGTCAGATCTTGTAAAGAATAGAGTGATATCAATCAGTGACCGTACCACTAATGAATAAAAGACTACTAAAATAGAATTGAAGAATAAGGATTATAAAGCCCTATTTATAATCCACCAATTTGTTAATTTGGACAACTTTGAAATGGTTGGAGATTTTCATTCATCTAAGGAGGCATAAGATATCTTAGAAAAGTCATTTGGTGGTGCTGAAGAGTGAAGGAGCTGAGGTTACAAATTCACAATTCAAATGGAAGAAAATGAAAGTATAGGTGACTTCTTCACTAGGGTGACTAGGCTGGTGAATCAGATCAAAATATATGGTGAAGTAATGCATTTGGTTGATAGTTGCAAAGATCTTGAGATCTTTGCTTCTAAAGTTCGATCATGTTGTAGTAGCCATAGAA